ATTATTATTATTGGTCGTTGTTATTATTGGTCGTTGTTATTATTGTTGTTGTTGTTCTCATTATTATTCTTTTAGTTATTTAATTAATTTTTTATTATTAATTTATTTTTGTATAGATTTATTCACATATTAACCCTTTCATTTATTCAATTATTTATTTATTCAATTACTCATTTATTCACCCATTCCTTTATCCCTTTATTTATATGTTCATTTGTTCATGTGTTTATTTGTTCATTTGTTCATGTATATATTCATGCATATATTCATGCATATATTCATGTATATATGCATGGTATATATCCATTTATATATTTATTTATATAATTATTTGTATATTCATTTATATATCCATTTATATATTTATTTATATAATTATTTGTATATTCATTTATATATTCATTTATATATTTATTCATTTTTCCATTTACTCATTTATTCATTTGCTCATTTATTCATTTACTCATTTATTTATTTACTCATTTATTTATTTGTTCTTTTTTTCATTTTTTCATTGTTATTATTTATTATATCTTTTCTTTTTTTTATTTACTAAAATATTAATTTACTAATATATTAATTAATTAATTAATTAATTTGTTTGTTTCATTATTTAACTATGTATTTATTTATATATGTTCCTGTTACATGAAATTAAAAAGAATGTTCTTGAGATGTTGCTGTCTGTAGCAAGGTACGTTTGAGTTACATACTTGGCCTCTGTTAATGCTAAGAATAACGACCAAAATGGTTTGAAAACTTGAAATACATTACACTCGCTCAGAATGTCACACCAGGATTCCGTTCTTGTTTTGTCTCTATCGGGTTTTTGGAAAAATAGGTTACAGAATAGGCATTGGAATTTATTTTTTCCTCATACATTCTGTTAAGTTCTTGGGTGAGGATTCATTGGTCGTATCAAATTTTTAAAAAGATGAATTAATAAAGTTTATTATAATTGGAAAATGTCTTGCTTTTTACCACTGTATTTGTTAACATTTTAAACTTGAGCCAAACATTACTCAAGTCTAACATCTTAGATGCCATTATTCCTATTTAGATTTTATTCAATCTAATTTGTTGTTCTTATATGCACTTCATCATATTTGTTTAATTTTTCTTAAACGCTTTCTTGATTGTGTAAAATTGAGCAGGGCAGAAGAAAAGCGTTGGCATACAAGCGGTAAACATTTTGGGCAGAGCGTCACTAAATCGCCCCCATTTCAACTGTGGATAGTTGTATCGTATTCAGCGGACGTAAAATAGCTACTTGCTGTTTGTAATCGTCATTTTAATAAAGGTGTGAGTCAGAATGGCGAAAACAAAAACGTGCCTAGACTTCAGCTGCATGGTTTCTATTTTCATACAATCTTTCTGGCATAAAGAACCTCCCGATATATGGAACCCAGAGGCGTAGCGAGAAGGGGGCGGGGCGGGGGAACAAATGTCCCCGGGCGCCGACCTTAGGGGGGGGGCGCCAAATTGAAAGTTTGAGGGGGGGTGCAAATGAAAAGTTCGAAGGGGGGTGCAAATCGAAAGTTTGTTCCCGGGCGCCGGGAAGGGTCGCTACGCCTCTGACGGAACCTCCCAATATACAGAACATCCCGATATATGGAACCTCCCGATATACTGAACCTCCCAGCATACAGATAATCCCGATATATGGAACCTCCCAATACACTGAACATCTAGATATACTGAAACTCCTGGTGTACAGAACCTCCCAATATACAGAACATCCCGATTTAGGAGCCTCCCGATATACGGAACCTCTCAATATACAGAATTGCCCGATATAGGGAACCTCCCCGAGTCTATAGGAAGCACCCCCTTCACACACACACACACACACACACACACACAGCAGGGTTAGTGAGACATCTGTCATCATCCGGAGTCTAAAAGGACGCCCTTAACCCTATTGAACTGAAGTGTAAACTGTATCTTTGTGAACTATGGGTAACACGTAAACCGAACTCTACTTCACAAGGTTGCCTTAAAACTGCCTGCTAAACATCAACCTACTAATTAATCTTAGGAAAAAAAATATGTAAAAAAAAAATCATAACTATTCATATAACTTGTAGAATACTTGCAGTAAATAGATAAGGGTCATCCATAAATGACGTCACGCTTTTTTGACGATTTTTACCCCTCCCCCCTCCCCTCCGTCACACATCGTCACAAAAAGCCAAACCCCCACCCTTAAAATGATGTCACACCTCAGCATACAATCCCCCCCCTCAAAATTGCAGTACATTTTTTCTTAAAACATCAATATTTTTTCCAAAATCTTGTCTGAACACCATAAGAAACAACAAAAAAAAATAAACCTTTCTATTAATAAGCTTTTAATCGCATAAAAAGAAAATCTAATATATAAAGCTCAGTTCTGTATCTAACGCATATGTTTGTCGTTGGTCTTGGATGGATTTAAGTGTTAGACAATTATCGTGCGCATTTGTCTAAATTTATGAGTTAAAAAATTACTATTGAAAGTGTTGGGATAATAATTGTCGGCATGTTCATTAAACACAAGTTTTAAAAAAATATCATCTTTTACAAAAATTCTAATTATGTCTTTATTTAGTCCTATAGCACTTACTTCCCTTTGATAAGTTAGGAAAACACAATTACTTCCCTTTATAAAACTATTGCATTAGTGGAAAATAGTTTACTTTTTATTACTTTGTTTTGGTGTTGGGAAAAAAAAATAATTACATAATTAGCGGGGATTGATCAAGTGCAAATGTTGTAGGTATTTTACGGATAAGCTTGGAGTATTAAAATTGTTCATTAAATTGAAACAGGCGCGTTCGTTTAAGTGAGTGCAAAAGACTATGAATAAGTTGGGGTACTATAGTCGTTCATTAAGCTAAAACAGGTGATTCCGCCCCGGGCGTTTATGTTCGCGTTAGTGTTTTCTTTGTGTTTAGGTGGGTTTGCGTTAGTGGTTGCGTTTTGATTTGGTTCGTTTTCGTTCTTTCTTTTTTTTTTGTGTGTTTTTTTGTTTGGGTTTGTATTTGTGTTTTTGGTTGGTTTTGCGTTTGGATTTGGTTTGTTTTCGTTTGCTTTTTCGTTGTTTATTTTTTTTTTTTTTTTTTGGTATTGGTGTTTGTGGTTGGGTTTGTTGTTAGGTTTTTGTTTTCGTTTGCTTTTTTGTTTGTTTTTTCTTTGTGTTTGTATTGGTGTTTGTGGTTGTGGTTGGGTTTGTTGTTAGGTTTTTGTTTTTGTTTGTATTTGTAATTGTGTTAGCGTTATGTTTGCGTTTTGTTGTTTTGGTTGGTTGTGGTTTGGGTGGGCAATGCCAGGTTTATGATGATTACTAAACACACAGGTAATGGTCTTTAACAGAAAGGTTTTTCACAGAAGCCAGAGCAGGGCCTGGCCGGGACGGCTAGTAATGTATATTTTCTTTAAACATTCTCAAGAAAATAAAAGCGATGGTTGCTCTAGAAATCTTTTCAGTACGTTTTGCAACAATTAAGTACAAATAGATTGAAAATGATAATATATTATTGCGTTGACATCGGAAATGAACATATGCGAAAATCACTTCACTTTATTCGAATTTGGGGGCGGCGTGGTAGGCAGTGTTTCTTCCAGACATTTTTATATTCCGAGGGAGGGGGGGGGGGAACAAAATTTCCGGTGGGGGGGGGGGGGTCGGACTAAAATGTCCGGGGGGGGGGTGCGGACATTGTTTAAAGTATATATTTTCTATATAAATTACATTTTATTTGTGTGTGGGGGGGTAGAGTTTCTTCGCCCCCCCCCCCCCCCTCAGAAGAGATGCCTGAAAGTAACACTAGTGGTAGGGCAAGACTGTGTGGCCGAGTGGTAGAGCGTTCGAGAGAAACAACCAAAGAACAAGACCTGACAAAAGCTTGCAAGTAAGATAAGTAGAAATACCATTATAATAAAAAGATTTTAAATTGAATGAAATTAAAAAAGAATATAAACTTGCAAACTGGTTATAAAGTAATCTTTATAATAATTCAATTTCAAATTTAATGTTTTATTAGTTTAATTAAAAGTTAGATATTCTTGCGTTGTCTTCAGAGACGAATGCATCTAGACATTAGTGCATTAGATGTGAGGTATTATATCTTTTTTGGTTTATTATAGGTTTTTATTTTTATTTTAATTTATTGTATTTCTATAGGGACAAAGAAAGTTGTTACTGAACTTAAAATATAGACTTGGGTTATAACTGAGTTACAAGATTAGTCACAAGCCCACGGATAAACAAACAGACCATGTGAACTAATTAAAGCTTATAAAATAATGACTGCCCCCACTGACAATGCACTACCCATGCCCTGCGTAACCCCTAAACACAAATGGACTCTTCTGACCCTTGGGTTTATCAAATACCCGGATGTTGTACCTCCTCATTCTTCAACAAAACTATGTTGTCGCCGACTATCCTATTATGTTATCTGCAGGCCTATAGATTTAAAAGACAGTTCAAACCCTTTCAAAACAATGCCAGCGGAAATCGCGGATGTTCAAGAATGCTAAAAAATATATTGTTTTTTTTTCTTTCTTGTTTTTCTGTTAAAGTGACTTCCGTTTCTCCTGGATCAAGACTTTAAAAAATGTAAAGAAAAATTCAAAAAACACTGGACTGCTTTTTACAGAAGTGAAAGAATTTTACATGCACATAAATGTAAATTGATTCTACATTATATGCATAAGATGTACTTATTTTATCATAAAGAGCTCTTAAAACAGAGCTGTTTTAAAAACCTCTTCTTCAACGTTATCGACTATAAATGTTATGAACACAAGTTATAATAAGTAGCAAAAATAGAAGGCGTGGTATACGGTCGTAAAACAAAAATAGTATTCTGACCTACTAAACTTGCGACAGGAAATAACCCCCCCCCCTCCCCCCGCATCCCCAACCCCCTTACATAAACCTCTCAATGTTCTTACCTGGGCGGTGAAGAACTGAGGCCAGGTACACCACACTTACCTTCACCCCGTGCGAATGACCGGATTGTCTCAGCCGGCCGGCCGGTTGCCTATATAAACCTGGTCTGTCGCACCGGCTTTGGTCAGACTAGGGACACGACACAATGCAGGTAGGCTTCACACGCTAGCCTAGAGGACTTTAGCCTAGGGGACATTAGCCTAGGGGACATTAGCCTAGAGGACATTAGCCTAGAGTAGATTAGCCTAGGGGACATTAGCCTAGAGTAGATTAGCCTAGAGTAGATTAGCCTAACGTAGATTAGCCTAGAGTAAATTAGCCTAGAATAATTTAGCCTATAGTGCATTAGCTTAAACTAATTCGCCTAGAGTACACTAGCCTAAATTATTTTAGCCTAGAGTGCATTAGCCTAAAGTAGTTTAGCCTAGAGTAATTTTTTTGATTTAGTGAACAGCGCCACATCATGTCTATGATTAATATTAACAAATTGCTAATTTTAAAGTTGACTATAATTTCTGTAATGTAGCTTATTCGTTTCTTCTCGCCAAAATATTAAAGATAATTATAACGAGATATTAAACTTTATTAAACAATAACGATTATCATTTTATTTAAACATTTTGTTTTGCTAGTTAAATTCTAAGATGAGTATAGTTAATTTAAACTTTTATTTTGATTTTTTTTTTTTTTTTTTTTTTTTTGGCGAAGTACAATAACAATACTAGTATTTAAGAGGTCTTCAAATCATCAGCACTACTAATTTCATTTCTTTCTTTTTGTGATGAAAAGTTATTGTGCATGTTATATAATACTTAAATCTCTAATTTAAAACGCTACTTAACGCTTGCCATATTATTTCTTTCCAGAACGAGGCTAAAGCAGACGTCAAGCACGCGCCATACTCCAATGGCAAGGCCGGTTTCTATCCGGAGAAACTCAATTACGTCATCACCGTGGACAGTGGCGACGTAAAGGAGAAGGAGGCGACGAAAGTTGACGAGATCGATGACGATCCGTGGGCTCTACCTGAGCTCAACGACGACTCTGAGCAATGGGAAGGTAAGCTGGCTATACATTTCAGTTAGATAGTACCATTTCGCTTTTTATTCATAGTCACAATAATCATTCGAAATTTCATACGTAACAATAATTCAGCCCCAAACACTTTTAGTCTAGCCCTATCTTTACTTTACCAATCAGAGCGATCATTAAATAAACATAATCATATTCAGAGTTTCATGTAAGTTAATCAAAACTATTGGGATCTTCTGACAAAGACCTAAAATTGTTTAAACACCATTGCCTCCTTCTGGATATTAATTAAGCATTTGCAATTTCGCTCATTTTTAATTTGCTAAGGCTCTTCGTCTACTACGATTGTTTTTTTGTTTGTTTTTTTTTTCAAATTTTCTTTGACTTTTCATTGACAAAGGCCCAAGTTCAAAACATCCTATTTAATGTTATTTAAATTCCATCGATTTGTTCAACCATTTGTTGTGTTACATTGATCTACCTAATCTAATCTTGTGCTGAGTACCTTGATGTCCATGGTTCCATGTTAATCCGATATATCCCCAGACCTGTGGTCCACCTAATCTAATCCTGTGCTGAGTACCTTGATAAGTCCATGGTTCCATGTTAATCCTATATCTCCCCAGACCTGTGGTCCACCTAATCTAATCCTGTGCTGAGTACCTTGATAAGTCCATGGTTCCATGTTAATCCGATATATCCCCAGACCTGGACACAGTAGGGAAGGTGAAGCGTGTCGTCTGGCTGGCCCTGAGGTTCGTGTTCCTGGTCGGCCTGATGTACCTCTTCATCTGTTCTCTGGACTTTCTCAGCTCGGCCTTCCAGCTGCTCGGGGGTGAGTGGACATTTCAGTTTTCTTTTCTCTACAGACAGTCTACTATTGGCACAATAATTCACTAAGCCGCGAAGAATCTTCACCAAGGACACTTTTAAATTTTATTTTATCGCTTGCGGACAATCATGACTCCGGATTTTAAAAAGGCTATACTTTATTTCTTTTATTAAAAGGGTAAACGAGATTTTAAATCTTCTAACAATTGGGCATAAAGATTTTAAATTTTTCAATTATCAAATCGACAGTGAAGAATTTAAATTTCCAACTATTAAAAGAGCGAAGATGATTTAAATTTCAAGTATTAAAAGGGCAAACAGGATTTAAACGTTCCCTTGCACCAGACATGTTCTCTTTTCAAAATTTAAAAAATACATTATGGACACCTTCACATGCTAACGGATTTAAACAGGTTTACAGCTTAGTTTACAGCGCTTGTGCTAGATTTATGTTAAGTTTTGGTTTACCTTCGGGATAAAATTGATGACAATCCAAAAATAAATAACGTAGATATAATTTAATTGATTTCAAACCATAGTCACATGGCACCCCCTAAAGGAAAAGAGCCCTATAATTATTTTTTGTTTCTGCGACAGCCCATAACATCAGTCTAGGTCACGACATGACAAAAGCGATCCCCCTCCCTATTCCATTTCACCCCCCCCCCCCTAAGTTTACCGTACGTGTGAACCGTCCCCTTCACTTCAAGGACTCCCTAGCCGCGCCGTATACAACATTCCAACCCCTGGCTATGTGTTCAGTTCTGTCAAAACATTGTCTTCAGGTGTGTTAGAACCTCCGGTTTTTTTCCCTACCTGTTGACGTCACACTCGTCACAACAACAAAAAAAATAGTTTCCGTGAAGGCTGGTGGGGCAGACAATCCACGGGCACGCTAATTCATGGAGGAGTTATCTCTGACGTACTAGCCTCGCATTCGTCACTGTCACGTGGGGTCATGTTTTGGTTGGGGTTGGCAAAAAAAAAATCTGCTAGACTTTTCTAGACGCTAAATTTTAAAGGTTTTAATTTACAGTGTGAGAAATATCGAAAACATAATTTCAAGTCTCTACAAAATTTACACTATAATAATACCATTAGTCAACAATTCGAATAGATCGAAAACCAAACAGTTTTTATATAAATCTCATGTCACACACACACACACACATACATACTTACATAAACACGCCACAAACATGCACACAAAGACATCACAAAAAACACACATATACAACCTTATCTATTGGCTATTTATATAATCACATTATGCACACAGACACCTATATATATATATATATATATATATATATATATATATAATATATATATATATATATATATATATATATATATATATATATATATATATCTGTGTGTCTGTGGGTGTGTGTAAGTGTCTTTGTGCTTTGTTAATTAATTAATTTTTATATATATTTATCCAGGCAAAGCCGCAGGTGAAGCATTAGGGAGCTCTGTTCTACTGAGCAACCCGATTGCCGGTTTGATGGTTGGGGTCCTGGCAACGGTCCTGGTTCAAAGTTCATCAACGTCCACGTCAATCATCGTCTCCATGGTGTCGGCCGGCAGTAAGTTCCTGTTACACTCTACTACCCCTGTAATTTATGCCTTGGCACGACATTCATTTCCCATTCAATGGGGCCGACTGTTACAGACTTGTGTCGTAAATATTTCTTATCTGGGTCGGATCGAATCCTTGTATTCGGGTCCATAAAATATGAGCTACATATAATAATCGGTTTGTCACGGATACAACATTTAACAAATCTGATGTATATATAAGCGAGTTAGACCAGTGAGGTAAGGCAATTGAAAAAAGGGAGATAATATAAATTGGTTTTTAAAAAATAAATTACATTCTTTTTAATTAAAAAATTAAAAGGCCTATCTTTTAATACAAACTATGATAAAAAAAACAGATAAAAACATAATATTAAATTATTCTTAGTTTGTATTCCACATTGTGTCTTATATACATTTGTGAATTTCTGTTTATTATTAACTAAATTCATAAATATTTATTTTAATTTGAGAAAACAATAAATTCGCTAAGTTCATTAAATGTAGGTTAAGGTCGGTCATAGGTCACCTTAATTATAAATTCATGTCAAACAAAGTTCCCCATTGTTCCATTCCTCCAACTAATTTAGAACGTGTCCATGACGAAAACAATTTTTCCCGCTGAAGGAAGTGTCGTGAACATTCTACCGCTGTTAGGGTTTATAATTAGATCAAGTCATTAACAGTGGCTCATTAAATAAATTAGGTTTTCTTTTATTTCCTTGATAGTAAAGTGCACACAGGCACATTGTACAGCAAATTAGTTCCGCTAATGAAAACATAGTTATAGGTTTGTAGGTAAACATTGTTAAGTCGATTGTTATTATTAAAGAAAACACGCGGCTTGTTAAAAGAAAAACACTAGACTAGAATTTTTTTTGTTGAATTTTAGATGTGTTTAAACATTAGTGCAAGCCCATACTGGTAGGGGGGAGGTTGTGGTCTAGTGGTAGAGCATTCGACTCCTAACTAGAAAGTCTCGAGTTCAGGTTCCTGACTTGGGTCGTTACGTATCCAGCTCTGAGTCCGCCCAACTCTAATGGGTACCTGACTTATAATAAGGAAAGTAAAGACGCCTGGGCAATATCCCTTCATATACCGAGGTCACAGAAACAGTCGAACTCTTCTTCACCTGCCCAGTAGTCTACCGCGCCCCTCCCCTCCCCTCTCCTTCTGAACGAATTAAACGAAATATCATTTTTATTGAGAATACATGCTTTTACCAGTGCCCCCCCCCCCCCATCCCCCCAAGTCTGAAAGAAACACTGAATATCTACCATAAAACACTATGGCCAAGCTTTCGCGTGCTATATTTCACACTAACCATGTACACATTCTTACGATCACATCTCCCGACCTCCCTTCCACAGATTTTTCCCAAATTATTTTCCCCGTGACTAACATTGCTATGTCACTTTAAACGTGATGTCTCTAACCAAATGTTGAACGTGTTTCAGTACTGAAAGTTCGTCTGGCAATTCCTATCGCCATGGGCTGTAACATAGGGACAACAGTGACCAACACTCTAGTCTCGCTGGGGCAGGTTAACGTCAAAAGTGACTTTAGGTGAGTCATCTGAAGCCAGTGTGGGGATAGTCTTTGTGTGGGGATATTTTTTGTGTGGGGAAAGTGTGGGGGGTAGTGTTTGTGTGAGGATAGCTTTTGTGTGGGGATAGTGTTAGTGTGGGGATAGTGTTAGTGTGGGGATAGCTTTGGTGTGGGAATTGTGTTTGTGTAGGGATAGTGTTAGTGTGGTTATAGTTTTTGCGTGGGAATAGTGTTATTATGGGGATAGTGTTAGTGTGGGGATAGTTTATGTGTGGGGATAGTTTTTGTGTGGTGATAGTTTTTGTGTAGGGAAAATTTTGTGTGGGGATCGTTTTTGTGTGGGGATAGTTTTTGTGGGGGGATATTTTTTGTGTGGGAATAGTTTTTGTGTGGGGACAGTGTTTGTGTGTGGATAGTTTTGGTGTGGGAAATGTGCTTGTGTGGGATAGTTTTTATACATGGATAGTTTTTGTACATGGATAGTTTTTGTACATGGATAGTTTTTGTACATGGATAGTTTTTATACATGGATAGTTTTTGTACATGGATAGTTTTTATACATGGATAGTTTTTGTACATGAAAACTGTTATCCTCCAATAAATGTATTACTCATCAACATTGTATACGCCACATTGCACTCATTAATCTTCAAATATCACCCTCTTCCCCCCCCCCCCCCCCCTTTTCAGACGTGCATTTGCCGCCGCCACCGTCCACGACATGTTCAACTGGCTGTGTGTGTTGGTGCTCCTGCCGCTAGAGGTCGCCTCCGACTACCTGCTCCGGATGACCGACGCCATCACCCAAGACCTCGCCTACAACCAATCAGACTCCAGCTCAAACTCCAACCCCAAAATGCTCAAAGCCATCACAGAGCCCTTTACCAAGAAAATCATAGAAGTAGGTTTATGTTAAAGTAGGTTTATGTTAAGGAAATTAATCAAATACCAACAGTAAAAGTCCGCTTATAGAATTGAATTAATGTTTTGTAAAAAATGTCCTTACAGTTGTCTTCAAGTAAAATCCGAGCAATCGCCAAAGGTGAAGAGGTCAACGGAAGTATCATTGTGCCAGGTAGGTCAAAGTTCATTAACATGCTAAGGATGATTACTCTGACATAACTAGCTGAAGACACTGCATACATTAATTATTATACTTTATTAAGCGTGGTAGGGTCAAGCCGTGTACTAAGTGGTAGTTGTAATTAGTAACAGTGAAATAGTATGACCCCCCCCCCCCCACACACACACACCCTCTTGACCATTTCTCTTTAGATAAAGTTTTAATTAGCGCCGTTAAAACCGCATTTTAAAATTAGGCTCCCATTTAATAAAACGGAAACTATATTAGCAGTTTTAATATTATGATTCTCCAGAATAGTGATTACATAATGATTAATTTAATGATTTAATTAATATTGTTTACGTCGTAGGTGATCACGTGTTTGGTGAATGGAGCGGCTCAGACGCAGCAGCAGGCGCCATTTTATTGGTTGTGTCCCTTGTGTTGTTGTGTACCTGCCTCGTTCTGGTGGTGAAGATCCTCAGCTCTTTACTCAAGGGGGCCATCGCTAAGATTATTCAGGTTTGTACTACAGTTGTTTTTTGAGCTAACAAAAACAATAGGAAAATGAAAATCGATGACAAAATCGATAGTAAAATATTATTTTGTTCTTTGAGACAATTATAGGAGAACACATTTTTTTCAAAAGTAATCTTTAGCATTGCTTCCGAATATTTATTAAAACTAATGTACAATTAAATATCATTTTACATAAATAATAGTAAAAATTATTGGTAATAGCTAAAACAAAAATAACTGGAAAATAAAACATTTTTTTTTAAAGAGCCAAAAATTATAATATCTCCATACAACAAAAGAAATTATACATCTGCATAAAATAAACGAACCATAACATTAAAAACAAAAATAGAAAAATCTCAAGTATGCCTACATTTTGAAAATTATTCTAAAACAAACAAGAAAACCTTAATGGTCAACATTATTTAAAATAGAAATTAGAATATGATGTATTTCATTCAAATCATATAAAGATACAATTCCAGGCGGCAGTTTAAAATTATTTTATCCACTCAAGCTTTCTAAAAAAATGTGTTTATACAAACGTTTATTTTATTTTTCTCAACAGAGAGTTGTGAATGCTGACTTCCCGGGCCCTTTCAAATACCTGACCGGCTACTTCGTCATTCTCGTGGGCGCAGGTCTGACCATCGTTGTACAGAGCAGCTCTATCTTCACATCAGCCCTCACCCCCCTGGTCGGGGTGGGAGCGATCCACCTTGACCGGATGTACCCCCTCACCATCGGCTCCAACATTGGCACCACCATCACCGGGATCCTTGCAGCCTTGACCTCGTCACCTTCCACGTTCAGAGAGTCGCTTCAGATCGCGCTGTGTCATCTATTCTTCAACATCTCCGGGGTCGTGTTGTGGTACGTCATCCCCCCGACCCGCAAGCTGCCCCTGGGGTTGGCTAAATACCTGGGTCAGATCGTCCACACGTACCGCTGGTTCGCTGTGGTGTACCTTATCCTGGTCTTTTTCTTACTCCCTCTCGCCATCTTCGGCCTCTCCCTCGCCGGCTGGGAGGTCCTCGTCGGGGTGGGAGTCCCCGTTATCCTCCTCATCATCTTCATCATCGTCGTCAACATTCTACAGAAAAAAGCACCAAAATTTCTTCCCGCACGACTCAAAACCTGGGAAGACTCTGGAATCCCAGAACCTCTAAGATCTTTAAGGCCGTACGACAATTTCTTTGTCCGGTTATCAAAATGCTGCTGTTTCTGCTGTAAGAAGTCTGACGTTTCTGAGGGCGCGTACAGTAACGACGGGTTCAGCATAGACTGTGACGACACCGACACGACAGTGAACAGCACAGATAACCACATCACGAGTACCAACAGTCGCACTGAACTCACCAAGTTTTGACATCCCCATCAAAAACTGAACTCACCAAGTTCTGAGCATCTCATCAAACATTGAACTCACCAAGTTTTGACATCCCCATCAAAAACTGAACTCACCAAGTTTTGACATCCCCATCAAAAACTGAACTCACCAAGTTTTGACATCCCCATCAAAAACTGAACTAACCAAGTTCTGACCATCTCATCAAACATTGAACTCAGCAAGTTTTGACAGTCCCACCAAACATATGCTGCCATCAAAAGCTGAACTCACCAAGATCTGACTGATTATCTCATTGAACACTGAACTCACCAAATCCTGACAGCTCCACCAAACACTGAACTCACCAAATCCTGACAGCTCCACCAAATCCTGACAGCCCCACCAAACACTGAACTCACCAAATCCTGACAGCTCCACCAAACACTGAACTCACCAAATCCTGACAGCTCCACCAAACACTGAACTCACCAAATCCTGACAGCTCCACCAAATCCTGACAGCTCCACCAAATCCTGACAGCTCCACCAAATCCTGACAGCTCCACCAAATCCTGACAGCTCCACCAAACACTGAACTCACCAAATCCTGGCAGCTCCACCAAATCCTTACAGTTCCACCAAACACTGAACTCACCAAATCCTGACAGCTCGACCAAACACTGTACTAACCAAATCCTGACAGCTCCACCAAATCCTTACAGTTCCACCAAACACTGAATTCACCAAATCCTGACAGCTCCACCAAACGCTGAACTCACCAAATCCTGACAGCTCCACCAAACGCTGAACTCACCAAATCCTGACAGCTCCACCAAACACTGAACTCACCAAATCCTGACAGCTCCACCAAATCCTGACAGCTCCACCAAATCCTGACAGCTCCACCAAATCCTGACAGCTCCACCAAATCCTGACAGCTCCACCAAATCCTGACAGCTCCACCAAACGCTGAACTCACCAAATCCTGACAGCTCCACCAAACGCTGAACTCACCAAATCCTGACAGCTGCACCAAACACTGAACTCACCAAATCCTGACAGCTCCACCAAACGCTGAACTCACCAAATCCTGACAGCTCCACCAAACACTGAACTCACCAAATCCTGACAGCTCCACCAAACGCTGAACTCACCAAATCCTGACAGCTGCACCAAACACTGAACTCACCAAATCCTGACAGCTCCACCCAACACTGAACTCACCAAATCCTGACAGCTCCACCCAACACTGAACTCACCAAATCCTGACAGCTCCACCAAACACTGAACTCACCAAATCCTGACAGCCCCACCAAACACTGAACTCACCAAATCCTGACAGCTCCACCAAACACTGAACTCACCAAATCCTGACAGCACCACCAAATCCTGACAGCTCGACCAAACACTGAACTCACCAAGTTCTGACAGCCCCGCCAAACATTGAACTCACCAAATCCTGACAGCCCCACCAAACACTGAACTCACCAAATCCTGACAGCTCCACCAAACACTGAACTCACCAAATCCTGACAGCTCCACCAAACGCTGAACTCACCAAATCCTGACAGCTCCACCAAATCCTGACAGCGCCACCAAATCCTGACAGCTCCACCAAACACTGAACTCACCAAATCCTGGCAGCTCCACCAAATCCTTACAGTTCCACCAAACACTGAACTCACCAAATCCTGACAGCTCGACCAAACACTGTACTAACCAAATCCTGACAGCTCCACCAAATCCTTACAGTTCCACCAAACACTGAATTCACCAAATCCTGACAGCTCCACCAAACGCTGAACTCACCAAATCCTGACAGCTCCACCAAACGCTGAACTCACCAAATCCTGACAGCTCCACCAAATCCTGACAGCTCCACCAAATCCTGACAGCTCCACCAAACACTGAACTCACCAAATCCTGACAGCTCCACCAAATCCTGACAGCTCCACCAAATCCTGACAGCTCCACCAAATCCTGACAGCTCCACCAAACGCTGAACTCACCAAATCCTGACAGCTCCACCAAACGCTGAACTCACCAAATCCTGACAGCTCCACCAAACACTGAACTCACCAAATCCTGACAGCTCCACCAAACACTGAACTCACCAAATCCTGACAGCTCCACCAAACACTGAACTCACCAAATCCTGACAGCTCCACCAAACACTGAACTCACCAAATCCTGACAGCTCCACCAAACACTGAACTCACCAAATCCTGACAGCTCCACCAAACACTGAACTCACCAAATCCTGACAGCTCCACCAAATCCTGACAGCTCCACCAAACACTGAACTCACCAAATCCTGACAGCTCCACCAAACGCTGAACTCACCAAATCCTGACAGCTGCACCAAACACTGAACTCACCAAATCCTGACAGCTCCACCAAACGCTGAACTCACCAAATCCTGACAGCCCCACCAAACACTGAACTCACCAAATCCTGACAGCTCAACCAAACACTGAACTCACCAAATCCTGACAGCTCCACCAAACACTGAACTCACCAAATCCTGACAGCTCCACCCAACACTGAACTCACCAAATCCTGACAGCTCCACCAAATCCTGACAGCTCCACCAAACACTGAACTCACCAAATCCTGACAGCTCCACCAAACGCTGAACTCACCAAATCCTGACAGCTCCACCAAATCCTGACAGCTCCACCAAATCCTGACAGCTCCACCAAACACTGAACTCACCAAATCCTGGCAGCTCCACCAAATCCTTACAGTTCCACCAAACACTGAACTCACCAAATCCTGACAGCTCGACCAAACACTGTACTAACCAAATCCTGACAGCTCCACCAAATCCTTACAGTTCCACCAAACACTGAATTCACCAAATCCTGACAGCTCCACCAAACGCTGAACTCACCAAATCCTGACAGCTCCACCAAACGCTGAACTCACCAAATCCTGACAGCTCCACCAAACACTGAACTCACCAAATCCTGACAGCTCCACCAAATCCTGACAGCTCCACCAAATCCTGACAGCTCCACCAAATCCTGACAGCTCCACCAAATCCTGACAGCTCCACCAAATCCTGACAGCTCCACCAAACGCTGAACTCACCAAATCCTGACAGCTCCACCAAACGCTGAACTCACCAAATCCTGACAGCTGCACCAAACACTGAACTCACCAAATCCTGACAGCTCCACCAAACGCTGAACTCACCAAATCCTGACAGCTGCACCAAACACTGAACTCACCAAATCCTGACAGCTCCACCCAACACTGAACTCACCAAATCCTGACAGCTCCACCCAACACTGAACTCACCAAATCCTGACAGCTCCACCAAACACTGAACTCACCAAATCCTGACAGCCCCACCAAACACTGAACTCACCAAATCCTGACAGCTCCACCAAACACTGAACTCACCAAATCCTGACAGCACCACCAAATCCTGACAGCTCGACCAAACACTGAACTCACCAAGTTCTGACAGCCCCGCCAAACATTGAACTCACCAAATCCTGACAGCCCCACCAAACACTGAACTCACCAAATCCTGACAGCTCCACCAAACACTGAACTCACCAAATCCTGACAGCTCCACCAAACGCTGAACTCACCAAATCCTGACAGCTCCACCAAATCCTGACAGCGCCACCAAATCCTGACAGCTCCACCAAACACTGAACTCACCAAATCCTGGCAGCTCCACCAAATCCTTACAGTTCCACCAAACACTGAACTCACCAAATCCTGACAGCTCGACCAAACACTGTACTAACCAAATCCTGACAGCTCCACCAAATCCTTACAGTTCCACCAAACACTGAATTCACCAAATCCTGACAGCTCCACCAAACGCTGAACTCACCAAATCCTGACAGCTCCACCAAACGCTGAACTCACCAAATCCTGACAGCTCCACCAAATCCTGACAGCTCCACCAAATCCTGACAGCTCCACCAAACACTGAACTCACCAAATCCTGACAGCTCCACCAAATCCTGACAGCTCCACCAAATCCTGACAGCTCCACCAAATCCTGACAGCTCCACCAAATCCTGACAGCTCCACCAAACACTGAACTCACCAAATCCTGACAGCTCCACCAAATCCTGACAGCTCCACCAAATCCTGACAGCTCCACCAAACACTGAACTCACCAAATCCTGACAGCTCCACCAAACACTGAACTCACCAAATCCTGACAGCTCCACCAAACACTGAACTCACCAAATCCTGACAGCTCCACCAAACACTGAACTCACCAAATCCTGACAGCTCCACCAAACACTGAACTCACCAAATCCTGACAGCTCCACCAAACACTGAACTCACCAAATCCTGACAGCCCCACCAAACATATGCTGCCATCAAAACTACGAATCTGGTCTTCTCCATGTCAAAGATATGTAAATAAAATGTAATTATTTTTTTATATTGTTCATATTGAATGGTTCATTACTAATGCCTATGTTTCTACATTGGTAAATATTTTATTTCATTAAACTTATGAAAACTTTCTTGTACACTTGAAACAATTAGTAATAAATTCACATGTGGAATATTTAAATACAGCAAATACATGTTTTACAACAGTCAAAGCACTTCGACTTAACACAGTTTTTTTTAAATTATTTTGCTGGAATGATTTACGAAAAAAATGAAAATTTAACATTTCATTTAGAAGTTTTAAAGAAACTTTTTTTGGTCCTAGGAATTGTTCACTGTTTATTAAATACATTATTTACCATTAAAATTCTTGTGTTTCTTTCTATTTCCAATATATATTCATGATACTTGAACAATTATACGACATCTATCCTTGTTATTACGAGATGTTCACTCACCCTGATGAAATACTGTTCATACGATTTTACACTCTATACTAAAGTAGCGGTAGAGCGCTAGGATGATAACCCGACAGTCTCGAGTTCGAATCCTGGTCGAGGTCAGTAGAACCTCCCTGAGTTAACCTAGAGTTGGTCGGTATCTGACTCATGTTAGGGAAAGTAAAGACGGCTGGGCATAGTGCTGACCACACCTTCTATTCATATACCGAGGTCAAGAAACATATTAACTCTAATTCATCTTCACAATGGATCGCTAGGTCTAAAGAGGATTATGTACTTTACTTAAGTAAAAGTGTGCAAATTATAAACTATCATATTCTAGTAAAACACCGAGAACACATCTTTCTTTCACCGAACCAGGCAGGTTATGAGATGCACAACATTGTAGCTCTGGGATTTTGTCACGACTTATTTTGCTACTAAAGGGAGTTAAGGGTTAGTGTTTATTCCTACAAGGGAAGTAATTTTATCATAAAATCGATATATAATTAACTCTTTAATTGACAGAGTAAATAAAGAAAAAGTTTATAGTTCAATTTTGAAAGCTATAACTAAAATTTTGCGTAATATACATAAAAGTAAACAAAGTAATATTATACTAATGTTAAATTTCTTTTAAAATTGAAGTTTATGGACGCAATGAAATTGTAGTGTATCCAGTTAGATAAATAATTTACAGAGTCACTGACAGCCATTGATTCATACGACTATTATTCAAAAACAAAACGAAAAATATATAAAAAATTATAAAAAAAAAAAAATATATATATATATATATATATATATATATATATATATATATATATATATATATATATATATATATATATATATGGCCCAAAAAAAATCTTTGCGGGGTGGCCCTTTTTTTCTAGTTCCGCCACTGGTAGGCATCCCATACAAATGTACCTGATACATGACAAACACTCCAAGTCATAACACTCAGCCAAATCGTGCAGAGGCGTAGCGACCCTTCCCGGCGCCCGGGGACATACTTTCAATTTGGCGCCCCCCTCGGGAGCAAATTTTCGATTTGCACCCCCCCCGTCGAACTTTTCATTTGCACCCCCCCCCTCAAACTTTCGATTTGCACCCCCCCCCCCTCGAACTTTTCATTTGCACCCCCCCTCAAACTTTCAATTTGGCGCCCCCCCCCTAAGGTCGGCGCCCGGGTACATATGTCGTCCCCCCCCCGCCGTCCCCCCCCCCCCTCGCTACGCCTCTGAAATCGTGTACCGTGATACAGTAGTCTGTATTTTATGTACTCTAGTACACACCACATACAAAAGTAGCTAAACCGTGCCAGATAAAATCTACATCATTTTTGCCAATGTGTATCGTTGCACAGTACAGTAAAAGATAAACCAGCTACTGTTCGTGTTTCATAAAGTTTCCTACCATTTTGTGCATAGAGACTCGTCTCAAAGCATTGTCAATATTCTATGTAAATAAGACACGATCCACGTTATGTGTTTGACATATAAACCTTTTCATCATATGTTTCTACACTTGTGTGCTAAAGGCCATCGTTTAGTGCAAACTTATATTAAATAAAATCTGTTCATTTAAAAAAAGAAAAAAGAAAAAAAAAAAGAAAAAATAAATAAAAGTAAAATCTTATATCCAAGAAAATAAACATAGATCTAGTACACACACCACTACCCCTGTTTAACCCCCACCCCTTTAAATAAAAAAACAAAAATGTTTGTCTGTGTCCCATAACCACTCCCCCTACTCGGCAGTAATTCTTATTGACTTTTTTCTCTAGGGGGGGGGGGATTATTAAAATTTCCGAGGGTGGTGGTTGGGGGGGGGGGGGGGGCGGACACTGTTAAAAGTATATATTTTAAGTATATATTATATTATTATATATATAGTAGACTACCCCTTCCCATCATTACCGATACCGCTAAACTACCCCTTCCTCCTCAATACCGATACCACAAAATTACCCCCTCCGACCGAATACCGATACCGCTAAACTACTTCTTCCACCCGAATACCGATACCACTCTACTACTTCTTCCACCCGAATACCGATACCACTATACTACTTCTTCCACCCGAATACCGATACCATGTTCCGCTATGTGAACAACACGCACGGTCATAATTTCTTTTGTTTGTGTGCGGTATCGATCCTCACGTGATACACGGAGCAGACTTCACCGTGCGTTGTCGAATATCACTACTTTGCTGGCCGGCATGGTGTCCCATCACATGCTGAAGAAAAAAAAATATCCTATGCAACTATTTGTTTTGTGTTTATCCATACTCTGGTTTATTGAATTCCAATTATGGTAAGTGCAATTTTTTTCCCTTAAATATCCTTATTCAACTAATTTATAATTAGACGTATATAATTGTTTAGTTAAAACCGGACTTTTAAATTCCTTCTTTTTTAATAACCTACATTGTTGTATGGTTTAAATTGTAATCTTTAACAATGCTGTAAAAAGAATACAAATTAGGCTGGCAAAATAACTACCTCATAGTTGTATGATATAAATTATAATAAATACACGCATCTTAAAATTATGTAAAATATGTCAAACTAGGATGAGAAAATAACTGCCTACATTGTTGTATGGTATAAATTCCAATAAATACACGCATCTTTAAAACTGCTGTAGAAATAATAAACTAGGATGGCAAAATAGGTGAAAGGAAAAAAGTCACAGGAAAAAAAAAACACAGAAAAAAAGTCAGTTTTTGCTAGGAAAAAAAGTCACAGAAAAAAAGTCACAGTGGAAAAATTTTATCGGAAAAAAAGTCACAGAAATAAAGTCACAGAAAAAAGTCACAAAAATCTTTTTAGAAATATTTTTATTAATTTGTTAAAAAATTGTAAAAGTTTGTATGTTTATTGTTGTGGGTTGTATTTTTTGATAGCATAAATTATTTATAGACGTTAAAAGCATTATGATTTATAACAATTGTAAGTAAAAATACTCTAAGATAATTAACACAACAATCTCAACTTTTGTTACGTATTTAGTTAAATACGCGGTAGAAAAGTTAATTATAAAAGAAATTTAGGCACATTTGCCGTAGGCTATTCTCTGGTCGGCCTCTCCTCAGTAGGCATTGTCCGAACATATTTTGTGTTGTTGACGTTATGCGTCAATGACAGCCTTTGAACCTTGTCGGCTTTCTGTTTTGATCCTAAGTTTTGTTATGTAATGAACGTGATAAATGTGGGCAGTAAAGAAGGTTGAACTAAACATAACTATTGTTGCCATGAGTTGAGGGCAGCAAGTGAGAGGAACTTACCATTTCACGGTAATTTAATATTGGTATTTAAAAAAAACACGATGAAAAACGTGGACTTTAGAGCATTCTATTAAATGCTACTAATCAGTGGCGTAGCGAGGTCGGGTGTCACCCGGTGCGGCACTTAATGGTGTCACCCCCAGAGGCGTAGCGACCCTTCCCGGGGACAAGCTTTCAGGTTTTCGATTTGCACCCCCCTCAAACTTTCGATTTGCACCCCCCCCCTCAAGTTTTTCTCTATATTTGCTATTTTTTGCCTTGTTGTCACCCCCCATAAATGGTGTCACCCGGTGCGGTCTGCAACCCCCGCCCCCCCCCCCCCCTCGCTACGCCCCTGCTACTAATCTTAAGTTTAAAATAATTACAATCTATATATTTCATAATAAATATTTTTAGATGAAATATAAAAATTCCTATGCGTATACAGCCTACACATTACATTACATTTAATTAATCCTAAGTTAATTTGCACTCTCATAATATTTAATACATACAAGTATTAACAAATATCATGCAAATATATATGTGTGACTTTTTTTCCTGTGACTTTTTTCCTGTGACTTTTTTTCCTGTGACTTTTTTTCCTACAATCGGCAAAATAGTGGCCAAATTGTGTAAACAAATCAAGCAATACCGGGCCCCGCGCTAATGCAAGTATTACTCACCACGCCTCTGCTTCCCTAGGGGGGGGGGGCAAAATGTTGTATCGCCATTATAAAAAATACCTAATAATAATTAATTTTGATTATCTTTTATAAACTATAGATGGTAATATACAAAGGTGTAGCGATCTATTTCGGCGCCCAGGACGAACTATCAATTTTGCGCCCCCACCCCCAAATTAGGCCTATATAGGCATATATTTATTCGCATTGGTGAAATGCAACCCTACCCTCCCTAATTTGGAAAGGTCAGGGCGCTTTTTACCAGTCACTTTGCCTTTTTATTTTGGTGTCAAGTAATTGCTGTAGAAAACGTTTAATTTAGTTTAAATAAGTCCGTAATTTAAATTTCGAACATTTCAAACGGTTATCTAATTTTAATGTTGATTTATTGATCGCTCAAGCGCATGATGGGGCGTTCCAAAATACGTGCAATTTTGGTTTTTAGTAGGGCTTGTAAGTCTCGTTTTCTCTGACTTTGAATTCGAAATCGGTTTTGTAATGACGGGTGTACAAAGTATCGTATTTGTTATTTGGCTGTTGTCTAGTAGTTGTAAGTCTAGTGGAATCTGATTGGTAATAGAGAAATGAGAATGTAGGTGATGAAGTATCGTTGTTCTGGAGTCCGGGAGTATCGAACATTGCTTTATTAAGATATCGAAGTGTGTTGACCTTTATCGTGTATAAGATGGTCCAGTTAAATCGTTGTAGATTGGGAGTATCGTTTGTATTGAACTTTAGTGAGTTGGTGTCGTAGTTCTGGAGCATCGAGTCTAGTTATGTTTAGGTATCGAAGTTTGAAGGCGTTGTGAGAGGAGTCGAGTTTATCATACGTTAGATGATTTCAATTCAGGACGGAACACACTACAAAGAAAGATAGGCGTCCTCTAGCTGAAAAATCTTCAGATTTTTTAGGAATCTATATTATCACTCTAAAAGGCTGAAATTTTTAACTAGCCATAAACTTTTTTTTTAATTTTATTTTTTTAATATTTAAACAATATTTATCGCAATCTCTCAAACCAGGGGTTGGCAACCTGCGTCTCGCGAGCCGCATGCGGCTCTTTTGATGTTAAGATGCGGCTCTCCAGTTCCAAGCACAAATACTAATTATATATATTATTTTATTTTTAAAACATTAAAAATATAATGAATATAAATAACTTTAAACATGATAAAAACACTCATCAGAGAACAATGAGTAGGTGCGTTAGAAAGTATACTGACAGCAGCTTGGGCATCAGGCCCAGCCGCACAGCCGATGACGTCCGTTCCATTCTTGCCACTGCCCAAGTGCCGACTTTTTACAAATATCGTTAAATGGGTAATGTTATTTTATTCAAAATGCATTTCTCTATCCGTCAGTAATCATTAATTTGACGTGAGTGACGTAGTTTGTTTTGGTTATTAGCTTCCTATTGTTGAGCCGGGTACTGGACGGTGGGGTACGAGTTTACCCTGGGTTCAGAGGGGTGGAAGCCTTGTGAGGACAAAAGGACAAAAGCGACCGGTACACGAAAATCAAACCGATATCCAAGCCAGTTAGTCGGAGTTTGCCGTGCTGAGGCTGCCTGGCAAGTTATTGGCTTGTAAAGTGGACAGAGTTTCTTCCAGGCGACCCCCCCCCCCCCGAAAATTGTTTACCGCCCCCCCCCCCCGAACGAAATGAAATTTATATAATTTATATAGAAAATATATACTTTTAACAGTGTCCGCCCCCCCCCCCCCCCCGAAGAAAGTCTACCGCCCCCTCCCCCCCCCCCCCCCCGGAGAAAAAAGTCTGGAAGAAACACTGAAAGTGGATTGGGATAATCCTATAGTTATTAATTTTTCATCATAGCAGAGCTAGATAAAATTGTTTAACATGTTTTTTTGTGAAATATTAAAACATTTTTAAAATAAAAATATTCTTTCATATTTAAAGCTATTTATTTCAAATCTAAAATCAAATTTATAGGTCTAATCCTAATCAAATGTCAAAATATTGAAATAAAAATGTTAGTGGCTCTTTAAAACTACGAACTTTCGTAAATTGAAACTTTTGGTTCTTCCGACTCAAGGGGTTACCGACCCCTTTCTTAAACAGTTACCCGTATGTGAAATGTTTCAATGCGTCCCATTATTTTGGGGATCAAAAATTAATCAGTACATCAGTTTGAATGATATATCTGAAAATTATGTCATCGATATTGAATAGAAGTATGTTATAATAAAGCTACTGTTTATACTTTTAAACAACCTACAGTTAAGTAGTCAATTGATAAATTATATTGTTTTGACAGAATATGTAATTAATATTTTTAAAAAATTAGGAATAATGTTTATTTAATAAAATTTTAAGAGTTGTATTGTGTTTTACAAGCATGTCTTAATTACATTTTTTTTAATTTAGCTATAATTGTGAAAGTTAATTCCCTTGAAAGAAATTTCGGCATTTGGGTTTACATATGGGAGATAATTCGTTGCTTAACTCTACATTTATTTCAAATTCCTCACCTTAGGTTGACCGCTTACTTATAAATACAACTTTAAGTTATTATTTGCTTTTGGAAAAATTATATAGAGCATGAGTTCTAAACAAAATAGTTTGGTGGGTTTTTTAGAATTATCAAGTTGAAAAACAAATACATCAGTAGACCTTGTAGATTGCAATACTAGAAGACATATTGTATGAGATAATGCAACTAATGCGTCTATTAATATGCAAATTAATAATCTAATTAATTGTCTTTTTCATAATTTTACCCTCTCCCAAAAAATTCATATATAACAATTGTAGGCTGGAATCTATAACATTTGTAAACTTTTATTTTTCAAAAGCAATAAAAAAAACGTTACATAATCACACAATATAGACATTTTACAATTATAACTGAAGACAGTCAAGCTTAAAACAGGTAAGTTCCGTTCTGGAACTCACCTTGGGAGGTCTGCAGAGAGCCCAACACGACAAGAACTGTTTTTTTAGTGGGGTTTTTTTTTCCAGACTTTTTTCTCAAGGGAAGGGGGGGGGGGGGCACTTTAAATTTTCGGTTGGAGTGGGGGGGGGAGGGGGGGGGGAACACTTGGACTTGGCAACAATTTCAATAGAATGTGATTACGCTTCCACGCTGGAACTGAAGAAGTTAGTACAAACTTTTGAGACGAAGGAGGCAAGTAAAAATTGATTTTGATGTCTACATATACCTTTTATGCAACGTATAATAAATTAATATGTCATTTTTTTATGTTTACTACATAAATTCCATCTCGCTCGGGGGGGGGGGGGGGGGGTAGACTTTCTTTGGGAGGGCTCCACCTCCCCGAAGAGATGCCTGGAAGAAACTCTGGAGTTGATTAATAATTGCTAGCTCTGGGGTTTTTTTTTTTTAGCAGTTTATAGTAAAACTCTTCCTGTCGCAGATGTTGAACAGAGAAAATGCTTCACAGCAAGACTTTTAAAACCTCAGACAAAACACAAAGGCCTACTTTATGTGCCTGACAAATCTCTAAACATTCAAATTTCAGCGCTGTGACGTCACTCTCTTCACTTTTTACAGATTCTGGATCCCTGTCGTCGGTCTCACAACAAACCTTTCGCCTCCCCTTCACGCCAGCGTAGAGCTAACGGTGTACAGCTGGTTAACCCGCCTCTAGTCCGGGACTTCACCTTCGATGTCCAGCACTTTAACATCTACCGCACGCTTAAGAGGACAAGGACGGTAGTCAAAAACACACTACCCACATCATCTAGTCAGTCCTGTTTGAAATATCTTTAAAATATGTTTGCAAAATTATCTGTGATATATATATATATATATATATATATATATATATATATATATATATATATATATATATATATATATATATATATATATATATATATATTTATATATACGCCATAATTTGATGAGACAAGCAGTCATTTTGAGGATCTTTGGGCGAGGGGGTGGAATCAGACCCCCACTATAAACCCCCCCCCCCCCCCCCATCTTACCTTTCATTGTTAGTTAAATAAATATGCTATGTGTATAGAGAAGATAAAAGCATGAGATATCATCCCCCCTTTTCCGTTAATTACCCCCTCCCTTACGTCTTTCCCCTCGCCCCCTAGGCGGCCCTAGGACATACCTCCACTCCGGTCATTTACATATAGATGCAATACGGATCGCTTTCGGGTAAGTTAGGGTTAAGGCAGGCTCAGACTTAGGCTTATGGTTATGGTTAGATATAGGTTTAGGTTTGGGTCCGGGTTCTTGAGCTTCCGTGAGGAGGTAATTACCCGGTGAGGGGGGGGGGGGTTAATATCTCCAGCGAGTAATGTCGGGGGCGGAGAAATGGGGGTGTCCGGGAGGGTAATTGACGGAAGGGGGGGAGGGGGGGGATGTCCTAAACCGGCAAAGGTTTCTTATACTGCTCGTAGTATCTTGAGTCTCTTAGACTTGCTTCTCTCTCGGGGCTATTTCTCAAGTATTTCTTTACTGTATATATTTTTGGTGTGTACAATAATGTCCACAATAAGAGTTATTTATTTCATTCCAGTCTCCACATCGCTGTTACTCCTTTAGGTAGGCCTCTGTCCTCATAACTAAATCAGTAGTATGACTTAAAACTAACTGTAAACATCTATATATATATAATTCTCTTCTTGGAGACGATAGAAAACACCAAGCTGTAAGCGCGCTCCCTACCACCCCACCCCTACATGGTCTGGTGAACTTTGGTTCACGCTAAATGTTTACAATCGTAGAGCCGGGTTTAGTGACGGCTATAAGGGGCAGATAATTTAGTTTGAAACGATTTTAAATTTAAGGGAGGTAACTAAGAGGAGGCTGCTTTCACGGGGGGGGGGGTAGGGTAGGGGTTGGGGGAAAGGAGGGTGGGGTAGTATCGTCCTTAACGACCTACTGATTGTGTTTTAAAGCAAATATTTTCAATGGCAGCATTGGTACTGTCGAATTCACAAATTATGAATTACTGAAAAGTAGAAAATAAAACAACTAACAAGCGGCGTATGATATGCCGCGGGTCGGCTCGTTCTGGTTAAGCCACTAATTGGTATACGGCTAACCCAATGTTACCTTTATTTCACCCTCATATTTCAAACCCCAGATTTTTCTCACGGCCGACCACAGGTCGAAGTCTGGCCATCGATCTCCCGATCACCGGAAGTGCTAGAGCCAGAACCTGAATTGTTTATTCCCCAGTACATTCGTTTCCTATTGATCGGTTCATTCCGCTCACCGCTCGGATTTCAACTCGCCGAAATAAGCCGCAAATCACGAACAATGGCATGCGTTAAGTCTCAACTCACCGAAATAAGCCGCAAATCACGAACAATGGCAGGCGGGGTCTCAATCAAGCGGCCATTGGTAGGCAAACGACGTACACGTGAACTTTACGCAATAAAACATTACGGCAGTTCTCGGATATCGATCGGCAATTTCGACATCGATCTAAATAAAACAGTTGGGCTTAGAAGAATATTCTGATTAAGTTTTACAACGGTTGCAGAATTTATTAATTCCAATGATCGACAAATAAATTTATTGGCCTAATGTGTATATTACATTTACTGAAAGAGTAATTTTTTTCTGCAACTGCCGACTATTAGGGGGGGGGGAGGGATTCGAACTTTTGTTATGATTTGTGACGATGAAGAGGGGAGATCAAAATTGTGACGAAATACCTGTGCATTTTAAAAAGTAATGGTAGAAAAGTAATGTTAAAAACGGAATATTAGCAGTTATTTAGCGTTTTTACAAGTCTGCTTTTTAACACGTTTTTAACACGTTTTTATTAACTCAGCTTCGCGTGGATGTGTTTGTTGTTAAAATTGACATCGAAAATTAGCCCACTTCTGATTGCTCTATAGATCTGAAATTTGGCATGCAGGTTACTTTCGCCTAACAATTTCAGATGCAATCATAAAAACTAGCAATTAGAGACCGTAATTAGCTTAATTTAATTACGCCCAAAGGACCATAAAATTGAGGACATGATTTCTAAAGATACCGACAAGACTGGAGGCTTGTTGACACAGTTACTTCGGCCCCAATCGATGTGAGCGCGCTGGCCGTGATCGTATAGTGGTTAGTACTTCGCGTTGTGGCCGCGACTACCCAGGTTCGAATCCTGGTCGCTCAAGATTTTTTTAGTCCGTGTATTTATAAACACTTTTTTAAAAACCACGTTTTTCATGTGTAGCAACGGACTAAAAAGGAGAAAATAAAATACTTAAAAAATACTTTTTAAAAAACCACGTTTTTCTTGTGGACTAAAAAGTAGAAAATAACTATTTTCATACATTTGATGACAAAAAACGTGGGTCGGGCAGATGGGTCGGGAAATTTGATGGTGAACGTACCCACGTTTTTTGTCATCAAATGTATGAAAATAGTTATTTTCTACTTTTTAGTCCACAAGAAAAACGTGGTTTTTTAAAAAGTATTTTTTAAGTATTTTATTAACACGTTTTTCTTAACTCAGCTTCGCGTTTGTTTGTTTGTTTGTTTGTTGTTAAAATTGACATCGAAAATTAGCCCACTTCTGATTGCTCTAGAGACCTGAAATTTGGCATGCATGCTACTTTCGCCTAACAATTTTAGATGCAATCATAAAAACTAGCAATTAGTGACCTTAATTAGCTTAATTTAATTACGCCCCAAGGACCATAAAATTGAGGACATGATTTCTAAAGATACCGACAAGACTGAAGGCCTATTGACACAGTTACTTCGGCCCCAATCGATGTGAGCGCGCTGGCCGTGATCGTATAGTGGTTAGTACTTCGCGTTGTGGCCGCGACAACCCAGGTTCGAATCCTGGTCGCTCAAGATTTTTAGTCCGTGTATTTATAAACACTTAGTCAAGTCATACTTAATCAAGTCATTGGATAAAGTAGAAAATAAACTATATAAAAAACTTTTTTTAAAAACCACGTTTTTCATGTGTAGCAACGGACTAAAAAGGAGAAAATAAAATACTTAAAAAAAACTTTTTAAAAAACCACGTTTTTCTTGTGGACTAAAAAGTAGAAAATAACTATTTACATACATTTGATGACAAAAAACGTGGGTCGGGCAGATGGGTCGGGAAATTTGATGGTGAACGTACCCACGTTTTTTGTCATCAAATGTATGTAAATAGTTATTTTCTACTTTTTAGTCCACAAGAAAAACGTGGTTTTTTAAAAAGTTTTTTTTAAGTATTTTATTCTTAACTCAGCTTCGCGTTTGTTTGTTTGTTTGTTGTTAAAATTGACATCGAAAATTAGCCCACTTCTGATTGCTCTAGAGACCTGAAATTTGGCATGCATGCTACTTTCGCCTAACAATTTCAGATGCAATCATAAAAACTAGCAATTAGTGACCGTAATTAGCTTAATTTAATTACGCCCCAAGGACCATAAAATTGAGGACATGATTTCTAAAGATACCGACAAGACTTGAGGCCTATTGACACAGTTACTTCGGCCCCAATCGATGTGAGCGCGCTGGCCGTGATCGTATAGTGGTTAGTACTTCGCGTTGTGGCCGCGACAACCCAGGTTCGAATCCTGGTCGCTCAAGATTTTTAGTCCGTGTATTTATAAACACTTTTTTAAAAACCACGTTTTTCATGTGTAGCAACGGACTAAAAAGGAGAAAATAAAATACTTAAAAAAAACTTTTTAAAAAACCACGTTTTTTATGTGTAGCAACGGACTAAAAAGGAGAACGGACACGGTAACACATTGTTAACGGTGACACGGTTGGTACGCTGGGCATGCTAAAATACACATAAACACGTTTTTCCTTAACTCAGCTTCGCGTTTATTTGTTTGTTTATGGGAGATTTGATCACGTGATTCGTGAGTAGATCTCCACGCCAGCAACGTAAATTACACCCTTTCTCTGTTTAAAGTGTATCGGTCGCTCAAGATTTTTTTAGTCCGTGTATTTAAAAACACTTAGTCAAGTCATACTTAATCAAGTGATTAGATAAAGTAGAAAATAAACTATATAAAAAACTTTTTAAAAACCACGTTTTTCGTGTGTAGCAACGGACTAAAAAGGAGAAAATAAAATACTTAAAAAAAAACTTTTTAAAAAACCACGTTTTTCTTGTGGACTAAAAAGTAGAAAATAACTATTTACATACATTTGATGACAAAAAACGTGGGTCGGGCAGATGGGTCGGGAAATTTGATGGTGAACGTACCCACGTTTTTTGTGATCAAATGTATGTAAATAGTTATTTTCTACTCTTTAGTCCACAAGAAAAACGTGGTTTTTTAAAAAGTTTTTTTTTAAGTATTTTATTAAAATTGTAATAGAAGTTGAATGGTGTGACCTATGCTCAATGTTATAGATCTTGTTAAAAAAAATGTATATGGATAGGCTAAGGAGTGACGTCATTATGAGAGGGAAGCGAGGCGGGTCTGGCTTTTTATGACAATGCGACAACGTGGAGAGGGGGGGGGGGGGGGTAAAATTTGTGTATACAAAAGCGTGACGTCGAAGTTTCCACATACTCCAGGGATTGAAAAGAAATTAATCATGATTCAATGATTAATAAACATAAAGTATAAGTTGATTAATAATTGATTTATTTTAACAATCTAACTGAATTGTTTTACCTGATTGATTTCAGTGACTGAAACAATACACTATAATACTATCTATATTTACTTTAGTAAGTGAAGTATATCGATGTATATTTCAGTGATAGAAACAATACACTAACATACTATCTATATTTATTTTAGTAAGTGAAGCATATCGATGTATATTTCAGTGATAAAAACAATTCACTATCATACTATTTATATTTACTTTAGTAAGTGAAGCATATCGATGTATATTTCAGTGATAGAAACAATACCCTAACATACTATCTATATAATTTACTTTAGTAAGTGAAGCATATCGATGTATATTTCAGTGATAGAAACAATACCCTAACATACTATCTTATTTACTTTAGTAAGTGAAGCATATCGATGTATATTTCAGTGATAGAAACAATACACTAACATACTATCTATATTTACTTTAGTAAGTGAAGCATATCGATGTATATTTCAGTGATAGAAACAATACCCTAACATACTATCTATATTTACTTTAGTAAGTGAAGCATATCGATGTATATTTCAGTGATAGAAACAATACCCTAACATACTATCTTATTTACTTTAGTAAGTGAAGCATATCGATGTATATTTCAGTGATAGAAACAATACCCTAACATACTATCTATTTATCTTAGTAAGTGAAGCATATCGATGTATATTTCAGTGATAGAAACAATACCCTAACATACTATCTATATTTACTTTAGTAAGTGAAGCATATCGATGTATATTTCAGTGATAGAAACAATACCCTAACATACTATCTATATTTACTTTAGTAAGTGAAGAATATCGATGTATATTTCAGTGATAGAAACAATACCCTAACATACTATCTTATTTACTTTAGTAAGTGAAGCATATCGATGTATATTTCAGTGATAGAAACAATACACTAACATACTATCTATATTTATTTAAGTGAAGCATATCGATGTATATTTCAGTGACTGAAACAATACACTAACATACTATCTATATTTACTTTAGTAAGTGAAGCATATCGATGTATATTTCAGTGATAGAAACAATACCCTAACATACTATCTACTATAAGTGAAACATATCGATGTATATTTCAGTGATAGAAACAGAGCACTCCATCAACACATTTGAAACCAGCAGACGCTTGCAGCCTGAGAAGACAAACTACAAGGAATTCTACCGGTCATTGACCTTCAATGTGCACCGGCTGTGCAACTCCAGGTGTAAGTGTGCAGAGTGTTTATCACCATGTGTAAGTGCACCAGCACTACATCACCAGATTTCTAAAGATCAAGGTTAAACTAACAATTTCATGATAATCTTTGTGTAAAGGGTAATAAAATACTTTAAAACTGTGGCTACCAATAATAAAATACTTTAAAACTACGGCTATCAATAATAAAATACTTTAAAAATATGGCTATCAATAATAAAATACTTTAAAACTATGGCTGTCAATAATAAAATACTTTAAAACTATTGCTATCAATAATAAAATACTTTAAAACTATGGCTATCAATAATAAAATACTTTAAAACTATGGCTATCAATAATAAAATACTTTAAAACTATGGCTATCAATAATAAAATATTTTAAAACTATGGCTATCAATAAAGAAAGCAGAGGGATGGATGGGTAACTTTTATTTATAGTTATAGCAATAGTTATGCAGAATTACGTTTAAGGAAAATCCTTTAATTTTCTTTGCTTTAGTACATAATAGTAAAGATTATTAACCTTTGTTTTTTGCCATTTAGAGCTAAAAAAATTGTATGACTTTTAAAACATGAAAACTAATTGTGCGCATGAGAATGTATCATTTTATAATTCCACGACCATACTTTATATTGCTAACTGTGATTATTTTTGTTTTAAATTATTAAACAAATTATGTGAAAGTTCATGTTAAATTGCATCACCAAGTTTGAAACGATTTGGTTCAGTAGAATTAAGTGAAATTTCAATTATAAGTCTCCAACCCTGACTTAGCACAACAATTAAAACTAAATTCTAATTTAAAGAAAAGTTTGTAAAAAATAAAAACATTGTTTGTGATCAAAACAAAATAGTTTAATTAAATATATTTGGCTATAGATCTAGTAGACATTTTTAAAAAAGGAATACATGATATCTAAAAATTGTTGGCATGATAGCAAAAATTCAACACAACCCATTCATGAGTAATCAACTGAAAACATTCAGTAAAGGGAGTTAACTATGCAAAACAAAGGTTACTTTTCCTTGCTAATGAAAACTGCTAAAATAAATTTCTAACATATCACAGTCTACCTACAACTGACATTTAAAATGTGTTGATAAATACAAATAATCTGTGTAATAGCTTAATGCCAGAAAAATTCAGTAAAAAAAAAAAAATTTAAGAATTAAACATTAAATAAAAAATTGTTTTCAATGAAAATTTGTAAGGAATATGTCCTTTGAAGCAGGTATGGCCAATTTTGTTTGACTGGGAATGACCAGGTATTGTAAAGTAGATCACTCATTACAGGTTTTGATAAATGCAATTAATCATATAGGGTTTTTAATCCCTGAAAGAGGTGGTTTAAATGCAAAACAAACAAAAAACAATTAATATTTACATTTTAAAGGTTAAGTCTTCAAAAAATAATTAATAATAGATCTATTTCTTCCAAAAAAAAAAAAGCACAATAGCTACAAATTCAAATCTCAAACAAAAGAAAAATTAACTTTGGCCTCAGAAATAAAATTTTGTGGATATAAGAAAAAATATTTGCAACTGAATAGATTACTATAATATAACGACAAGAGAAACGTAAAAAGCTAATTTAAGAACAGCGCCGCCACAAAAAAATGTATACAACAGAAATGGGAACCAAATGAACATGTTGAGTTATAGAAATTTCCACACATTTACTGCTTCATATAAGCTGCTCAAGCAACTGTACCTGTAACATTAACCTGAATGTTATTCAATCCTTGAACTTGTCTGGATGAGCTGTAGTGTCAATCATAAAAATATTACTGCTGTTTTTAGCATTTTTTTCAAGAAAAAAAATAATTTTAAAATCAAAATGCTTTTCCTTTCCATAAAGTAATAAATAAGCCAAAACATGCTAAATTTTGTAATGAAAAAAAGAAATTACTAAAAAATAAAATTATTACAAGAAAATGTTTGATATTTTGATATATTTATTTAGCATCAAGAGCAGATAACTTTGAAATGTCATGATCAACTACAACTAGTTATCACATGGAATTTGCTTAATCAAAATACTTATTCAACTAAAAAGCTGACATTTATTTTTATAACAGCCTAAAGTACACAGTATAGCATAATTTAAGTTACCCCCCAGGAATGCAGAACAAGATCAGCAAATCAATAAACACTGAAGCCAAATCAAACACTGAACATATCAGTGTTAAATGCATGAAGCAGTCAATTAAGTGTATCACGCAACAAGGTAAAAAATAAAAACTCTTGGTTAATTTACCAAAGTTAGAGAACAAGACAAGAATGAACAGCCAGTGTTTCTGTGATGTCTAGGTAAAAAAAAATTGTCTATCTACATGGTATTGTGCTGTGAGCTGTCCATGAAAACAAATAGGAAAAAACAAACATAATGGGACTTAAACATTTCAAACATTGCATTAAAAAAATATGGTTTACCCCAATGTGAGAGGAATAAAGAAAATGCAAAGTTGAAAATAAAAGAACAAATAATTGCATGTACAAAAAGAATGGAATGGAAATTGCATGATCAATTACAATACAGGCAACTATAATGTCAGTTTCAGCTGAAACAAAAAGATATGTACATTTGATTTTGTTTATTATTATTCAGACTAATCTATTAAATAGTTGGGAATAAAAAAATAATTTGATCCACACCTTTTTTTTGAGCACATGAACAAGAGCATTATTAAACTCTTATTTTAATATTAGACAAATTTTTAATTCACAATCCCTTTAACCTAAAAAAACAATGCCCACTTTTGAACAACCAGGCCAAAAAAAAAAAATTTCAGTGTAGACCTAAAATACTTTCATAATGAAACTGTAATGCTGTTTGGACACCCCACACAATGTTTCAATGCATGTATGGCGTGTGGGCTTGCGTTACTCTCATTAAAAACATTATGCAAGTCAAAAATTATCAAATAAATATGATAACGATACACAACAGCTCTGGCTATATAATTAAACAAGAACTTGCTACAGCTTTGGTTGGTTAAGAACAAGCATGTAAATAACCAGTTGGATAACGACAAGTTGTATGATACATCTATCTACTTGGCCCCAAGCGAACAGTCACTTAATCATGTTGATATTTTACATTGATTCATATACAAAATATATTTAAATCAAATAAAATAAAAACTATTTTTCCTTAAGACAATCATCAAATTAAAAAAAAAATTAATTTAAAAATTTCAAATACAGTTTTATTGGACAAAAATCAATTCAGGGTTCATTAAGCTTTAGACCAAAAGGTTTAAAAAGTAGGATTTGGGTGAAGTAACACATCTATTAAATTTTATTTAGAAATTGTCAAAAGTTCAATTTTTTAAAATTCAAATTTAAAATGGTGAGTAGTATGTTTAAAATGTCTTTAAAAAGGGGAGAGAAAATGTCATGAATTGTAAACTTGAACTATTATTTAATGACTGCAACAAAAAACTATTTTCACTATCTGAAAAATTAAAGAAGTACAACGAAGGTAAATAGTGTAACACAATTGAGTTCTAGGTTTTTAGCTTAAAAGTAACTTGGTAAATGTTAAAAAAGGAAAACTAAATTATCTGATAATACTTTGTTCCTGACTTAAATAAGATAAACTGAACTATCAATAAGGTATTTTCCAACCTTAAATAATGGAAAAAATTGATTATCTCTAAGTATTATTTCCTAACAAAAAAAAGAAAAAAATAACTATCATTAAGGTATTGTTGCCCAACCTTAATAAAAAATATTAAAAAGAACATTAAAATGTGAGGAATGACAATAATACACAAATATTTCTGGTGAGTATGTGCTCAGATTCACACAACTGTGAAGGATATATTTCAAGTCAATTACGTCAAAAGTTTTATCACCCTTCATCTTGGGATTACCTACTTCGAAAGACATCTTTAAACATTCAGCTGATTATGAATCAAAACTGACTTTACAAGAAAGCCAAACAAGGAATGACAAAAAGCCAAATGCTAATCAATACAATGAACAGCTTCTATTCACACTTAACGTTTCATACCTAAAGTAAAAAAATGTTTTGTTAAATTTAAAAAAATTATCTCATGTCCATTTACTCCTGAGTAATAACATATTAAGCACAAGTGAATCTACACCAAACTCCCTTTATCAATAGTATCAACAAATTAAGCCCAAGTGAATCTACACCAAACTCCCTTTAACAACTGAAGAAAGCTTTTAACAGGTCATAGGTTGCATCATCTGTGGTGTGTAGAGCTGACTGCACTCAGCTGCTGTACTGTGGCTTTGTACCAAGGACGGGACTGGGAATACAGGGAAACAGTATGAGCATAGAGATGACAAGTAGTGTATGAGCATAGAGGTGACAACAATAGCATATAGATGACAAGTAGTGTATGAGCATATGACATATGGTGTATGAGCATAGAGATGACCAGTAGCGTATGAGCATATGACATATGGTGTATGAGCATAGAGATGACAACAATAGCATAGATATGACAAGTAGTGTATGAGCATATAACATATAGTGTATGAGCATACAAATGACAAATATAGCATAGAGATGACAAGTAGTGTATAAGCATATGACATGAAGTGTATGAGCATATGACAAGTAGTGTATGAGCATACAAATAGGGCATAGAGATGACACATTGGGCGTAGAGATTACAAATATGACACATACAGAAGACGGAGTGAGTGAGCACATAGTTGACTAAGAAAGATTGTATGACAGATTGGAGAAAACAAACAATGAGCAATGAGATGAAGCAAGATTTAGTAAATGTAAGAAATAACTAAATAATTTAAATTCATATTTTACTTTAATTCTACATTTAGGTCTTTTAGTTTAGTTATTTTTTTTTTACTAAAATATTCAAATAGTAAAGTTTGTTCTAAAACAAGTATCCTTATTATAATTCCCCTAAAGAATTAACCTAAAGTCCTACATAAAAACATAACACTACAAAGCACACTTGTTTTATTGGACATGTACATGAATGACAAATGACACAAATCTGTGACATAAAAAGCTTAAAGGAGAGAGGAAACTTTTTATTCAATAGGAAAACAAAATATTTTAAGCAAGAAATTATTTCATAAATTATACCGTTGAAGAAAACAATCAAAGCTGTAGAAATTATATTACACTGTTATAGGCTATTGTTTTCTGTAATTAAAATACTGAATTCAAAGTTGAACTAATTAACCAGTCAATGGCTAGAAATTATGAAGACACGGCATGCAGTAGCTCACTAATAATAGATAATTTTAAATTAAGAACTATAAGCATTGCCTGGATGGCAAGATAGTGCAATTAAAGATTCTTTGCTTATAAAAACATATAGTGCATTATTTAAAAAATAAAATTATACAAAACTATCTGTGAAACTTTAAATAATTTTTTGAGATGAAAATATCTAAAAATGATTTTTCAAAAATTAACAGTCAATAAGTAGTAAACAGTAATACATAAGCCAAAAACAGTTGATTTTAAAACTGCCATCTACTTAAAATAATAAAATGTCAGGTTCTGCTCATACGAATGTGTATAGTTTACAAGGGATGAGAAACAATAACATTGTTAAAAAAGCAGTCATTCATTTGGTTCATTTTCTTTATACAAATTACATTAACTAACCTATTTTATTTCAACTGTACTGAAATAATACAAGTACCAGTGAAAGTAGCATAGGTGCATAATTCTTTCCTGTATTCTTTACAGAAGAAAAAAGCTCCATTTTAAACTTAATTAGTGCACATTTAGTGTCTGCTGTAGCAGTCATCTTTAAACCAAAGCATCTGACTAGAGCAGTTTTTCTTTTTGAATGAAGTACCCAATCCACTGGTCAGACTCATACTTAAGACCAGAGAAGTGCTTCTTCGTGTTTTGATAATAAACAATTAGTGTTGTAAACTTAATGGCAATCAATTAAAGCCTGACTGTGACTTACCAGAACAAAATGTAAAAATTATTGATAAATTTTAACTACAAGTGTGAGGTTGGGTGTGTGTGTGGGAGTAAGATATTTCTCAAGAGCTGTGGAATTGTATTGAGCTAAACACTTAAAGATTCTACAACTACTTCCATTGTGCTTACAAAGAGATGTTACATAAATGTCTATATAACTATTCCTACTCCACAAGTCTGTCTTACTTAAAAAAATCATCTGATTATATCACTACTTTAATATAAAAAAGGCTTGACTTCATGAAACAAGGAAAATAGGGCATGAGCTCTTATGTGTGATAAAATAAAAAAGTCGCTAAGTGCATGAGCTGCAACATTCAAGGCAAAAAGTGCAATGCTAGATATTGATATACAGCACAATTTCCTTACACCCTTCAGGAGAAACAGCAGAGGTAAGAAACAAAAAAAAAAAGCAATTTAATAATTGGACAATCCACTTCCAAGTAGTTCAATTAATGATTTATGAGTTCCTACATTAAAAATGACATACTTGTCAGAGGTTTTCCATAAATATCATGCACTTTGTGATTGGCTAAATTATGCAAGTAAGGAAAGTCATAGCTCTTTGTCAATGGTTCTTAACCAGGGGTTCAGTGAGTCAGTATAAGGGGTTCAGTAAGTCAGTCACAAGTGTTCAGTGAGTCAATCTCAAGGGTTCAGTGAGTCAATCTCAAGGGTTCAGTGAGTCAGTTTTAGGGGTTCAGTGAGTCAGTCTCAAGGGTTCAGTGAGTTAGTCTCGGGGGTTCAGTGAGTCAGCATCAGTGGTTCAGTGAGTCAGCTTAAGTCAAGATACGCACCCGAATCATTTGATTTATGATCAGGTTTTTCAGTGCGGATAATAGAACAATTAAGAAGGGTTCGGTGAATGAGCATGTGAAACTGGTAGGGTTCGGTACCTCCAAAAAGGTAAAGAACCACTGCTGTATGACATTTTGGAGGAAAGGGGAGGGTCTGACTTGTGCAAGGAAGAAAGCTGTAATTGACTGAAAGCATATACTACAAGTCATTCATAATAACCCGTCAAATGGTAAACATGTGTAGAAGGGTACATTGTAATAGTCAATCTTAAAACCTGAATTCTCATTCAAATTTCTGGACTAACATATCTGTAAGTAAAATCAACCTACCATATCCCATTCCTTGCAAAAACAAACGGAAAGCTTCACAAGTTTTCCCAGGCTGTTCTTCCAATGGCATCCCACCACAGTCTGCTATCTGTAAACACAACAGTGGTATGAAACAACAATGGTATGAAAGAATATTTTTATATTTATTAACACTATTTTTATAGTATAGGTAAAGAATCCTCTTTAAACCTAGCGGTCCATTGGGCAGGTAAAGTAGAGTAATTATCAATCAAACAGTGCCAAAACTCATCAACGATTCTTTCACTTAAAGTATTTTTTGAGGCTCCTTAAAGAGTAGCTAGAGCATACAAAGGAAATTGTTTTAAATTTTGACCTTCATGAAGTCAGTCTCCTCAGGTAACATCCTGCCATTCATCTCTACCACATCCTCCATGTGTGGGGAATCATCACCAACAAGGATCAGAGACCGGCAACTACAACATCAACAAAGTCTGGCTTTATAAAATACTAATAAAACAATTACAACATCAACAAAGTCTGGCTTTATAAAATACTAATAAAACAACTACAACATCAACAGTCTAGTTTTAAAAAGTACTGACAAAAACAACTACATTATCAACTGTAGTTTTATATATACAAAGTACTGACAAAAAACAACTACAACATCAACAAAGTCTAATTTTATAAAGTACTGACAAAAACAACCACAGCATCAACAAATTTTAATTTTATAAATTAATTACAAATAATTTATTTTTTAAATTAAAAAAGGACTAACAACACATCAGGAAATTGATAAGCTTTTTTCGGGTAAACGACCATCAGTCATCACTGTAGTTAATTCCAGAAAGTTTATTTATAAATAACTTTAGGTAAGTTTATTTATAAAGAACATTAGTAAGTAAAGTTAAGTTCCGCTCTTAAGACCTAGAGATCCATTGGGCAGATGAAGTAGAATTCAGCATATAAAAGGATAGTGTGGTCAGCACAATACCCAGCCACCTTTACTTTCCCAAACAAAAGTCAGGTACCCATCAGAACTGGGTGGACACAGGGACGTCCATAGTCACAAGTCCAAAAAAAGAACTTTCACTTAATAAAGAACTTAAACAGAATATGAACCATAATTTTAACATGTGCAGCAAGGCATACCCATCACTCACACAAAGTCATACCAAAATGTTACATTATTTATAGTCTCCCTTATCAGTGTTACAAAACAACTAGAGCTAGTTAGCAACCCACCGAACAGTTCTGGCAGAAATTTTCCTCATAGGGTCCATCTCTCTTATGATACACAGATCTGTACGCCTGTTGTTCAAACAAAGTAATGGTTTTTAATTTTATGCACAAACTTTGGTAAACTTTTAAAATTATGAGCAGAAAAATATATCAAGTACTAACATTTTTTCCAACAAATGACACTTAATACAAGACATATATTGATTATAACCATGATTACAGATTAGAAGAACATATCAAATCAAATGTTTGTCAAGTAAAAAGACTTACTTGAGATAGGTTTCAATGAACAGCCCCAAGTTCTGGGCATTGATGGTCTTAATGTACTCGCTGTAGGTGTGGATCAAATCATGGTTGGTCCATCTGGTTTTCTGTGGATGGAGGAAAATTTTATTGGCATTGGATTATAATGTTATCACCTGACAACATTTTAAAACATATTTGAATAAATATGCTTCACTCATCATTCCAGTTCAACAGCACATATGGCATCATTTATGATGTAAATACTTGAATAAAGTTATAATCATGAAGGATATTGCATGAAATATTCCTTGAGGGGCTTGTTAAGTCCACAAACACCAACAACTGAAACACAGTTCTATTGATGAAGTGATGACCTACAGGCCAGAACTTACCTTGCCAAACCAGTGCCAGAGCAGGTATTCCTCAGTGAAGGAGGTCAGCTGTCCACTAAACAGGTACCATGAGTTCATCTGGTAGAATATATTTAACAATCATGTGTTAATATAGTGGAGCGGACAATCAAACTATAAGTATCATAAATAGCGTGAGTCACTCTTGAAACAGACTAAAATAATTTCACTATTTGTTCACTAGTTGGTATCCATACCAAACATTCAGTTTAGCTAACACCTACACAAACAATTTTATAAAATGACAATCACTGCACTATTCATCCCTGAAATGCCACCATGACAGCCCCTTTCCAGTGTAAATAACTTCAAACTAGAGTTCTAAAGAAAAAGTTTAAACAAAATCAACCAACTGACCTTTTGGTACCCCCACTCAATCCAGCCACTCTTGCTGGCAGTTGGGTTCACTAAGACAAGGGAGTCTACCTTATCATGATGACAGAGCTGGAAATAAGGGAAGTAAGTCAACAAACTTTGACACAAGATGATCCAGAGATAACATGATAATTGTTGTTCACTGAATTTATATGTGGTTTAATTGTCATACTTTTATACTCTTATCAGATATTGAACATTTTGACATAAGCAGATAACAGAATATATACCAAGTACATATAAACTCTTTTATTTTACATATGTAGTCCAGAGGCATAAAAACAAAATTATATTAAAAAATAAGATTTTATTTACCTCGTATCTGGACAAGATGTTAGCACCAGCGCCAACTCCAAATCCAATGAAAGTCTTCATTCTAGGAAAATTAAATGATACAAAAATCATCAGTACAAAATTACACGGCTACAACTTTTGTTTGTTTCAAAAGTTTTAGTGATCATAGAGTCCATTTAACAAAGTAGCTGCACTTTTCCTCCAGCCTCTGTCACTTAGTGCGATGGCAAGGTTAAACAGTAGTGTTTGGCTGTTAGCCCAAGGGTCTTGAGTTCAGTTGCGTATAGACTTGTGACTGTAGGACCTCCTTGAGTCCACCTAGTTCTAATGGTTACCTGACTTACGTTGGGGAAAGTCAAGACAACTCTCTCTGCCCATTGGATCGTTAGGTCTAAAGGGGAATCTTACTTTTTTTACTTAGAGGTCATATGGCTTTAAAAAGAAATAACCAGACCTTTTCCAAATTAAACTGGAACTATTTTTCACAAAAGTGAAAACAAAACAAAATCCGTGTAAATTATACTATTTTCTAAGCACAAGTGGGAAGTACAATGGAGAGGAAAGCAATGCTGTTGGCTTTGCAGATTTTATTTACTTTAACTAGGCTAAAATTTTAACATCTTTTTCAAATGTAGATCCCAGACATTCGCCAAATATATATTATTGCAAACAGCCAAAAAAAACTGATCTGAACAGCCCTTTCCTAAATGTCCCCTATATTTCACACTTTTCAAACTGCATATAATGCTGCATGTAAAACTGTACGTGGCCCTGCGTGTAAAAAACTTAAGAGAAATTATTCAAGTGTCAAAAAAAAAAAACAAGCCTACCCAAAATGTTCAACAACATGGTGCACTGCCTCAGCCAGCTGATCCATTGTAGGGTAAACAAACCTAGACGTGACAAAATTTTTATCATCATTTTGATCAATACAAGACCAATACAACAATGTTAACGCAATAGGCATCACACTTTAAACGCTATTAAATAGTTTATGTTGTACTAGTATTTGTAAACAAAATATTTTTTTTTTTTTATTTTGGCTGGAAAAATGTAATCTAATTTTTAATTTAAATTGCATAACCAATTTGATCAAAGCTAATTTAACCTGATGTTTTTTTTAAAGGACGATAATTTAATAGAACAAAATTAAAGTGTAGTGTTTGCAAAATTGCACCAGGCAAATGAAAATTGTAAAGAAACCACCAAAACCAGATAAAGATCATTGCACGCTTAAAAACATAAATCATCTACCATGCTTCATGCAAATAATACTTCTAAAACTACAAGCATGTAATATGACATTGTTTAACAGAGTTATTGGATTTCAACAATATATAGATGTTACTGAGATAAAGGCTAATCATTCACAAAATTGATTCAACAAATGAACACCCAAATCCCTAAAGAAATCAAATGCCACAAGCTGTGAAAAACCATTTACCAGAACAGCTTTCTTCTTACTTTTTCAATAAGAAAAAATTAAAACAAAAATGAATGTTAAGTTAGGTGTTGTACTAATTATATATCAGGTTTTATCTGTTTGGTGTTACTCTAAATTTTTTGTTCAAGATTTTTCAGATAGGCATATTTTTAAAAAATGTATTCAAAAGAAAGAACAGAAAGCAGATGATGAAACTATCAATCTTTTTTAGTAAAGACATCTAGACATATTTTTTAAAAATGTATTTGAAAGAAAGAACAGAAAGCAGATGAAAACTATCTTTTTGTAAAGACATCTTAGCCTTTGTAGGTGTACTGTGCCTGAAGTTCTGGGAACCAAATCAAATTTTCCAATTTGCCAGATTAATTGTGAAACAGAAGTGCCATCTCCCAACAGACCCACAACATCAAAAAAAAAAAAAAAAAAATTGCAAGGAGAAAAGAAACGGTGTAGAGACTTCCCTCCCACACTGACATAAACAAAGCCCTCAAGGCCAGTGACAAGCCCAGGCAACCTACCTGCTACCAAGGGAGTCTGGGTTTCCTACCACATCGTGTCTGTTGGTTGAAACATCCAAGAAATGCAAAAAAATTAAAACATCGCATAACACAATTAGGTTCAAAGACACACAAAAATAGGTCCCCTGCTTTTGGCATAGTAGATTAACAATAGATTTTATAACAGGGTATAATCACACACATGTATTAAAAAATCAAAAAAAAAAAAAAAATACAACCAAAATACCCATGCATGTAAAGGCAATTTAGAGTTAAATTTTCAAGTCATTCAACATGACAACATTACATGCTGCCAACAGCCACACTCTGTAGACAAACATGCTTTCAATGTATATGAGCATGAAGTAAATAAACACATGTTTTAGCTAGTCATTCAACATGAAGAGAACGTGATATATTAACATGCAGCAGCGGCAGCCAGCGTGGCAATGGGTCAAGCCACCTCCTCACTAAGATCAGATATAATGTCAAGATGCTGAAGGCAGTTATCTGCGTATTTTCTCATAAGCCTTCTACTGACTAGATGGCATGCATAATAAATCATTGTCTTTTGATTCTGTTTGTACATAAGTAAAAGTTATAGTTTATGAAAAAAGCTACTCTAATTTTTTGTAATTATATTATTAATCGGAGTAGTGACCTTTTAAAATCTTTACACTCTGATAAGTTGGTATATTTCAATGAATAAAAAGTGCAATAAATAAAAGTAATATTGCTAATAATCCAGGAGATTTTTTTTTTTTTAATTTTTTTTAAACATAATCTGAACATATCACATCTAATAGATGTATTGCTCATACTCTTGCTACTAACTGATAAAGATATATGGTAATTATTGGCTATAAGGTGTGCAAGAAAGATGTTTTACTCTGGTTTGAGTGTCATGGCCCCTTCCTCCTGTCCTGGTGCGTTCAGGTGGTACACACAGAAGTGGCGGAGAATGGGCTGCATATCTGGGTAACTGAAGAACCCCTGGAAGCAGGTGACATCTGGGGATGGAACCATGATAGAATTAATTGAGAACCACTCGAAGGTAGTGACATGGGGGGGGGGGGGGGTAGAACCATGATAGAATTAAGTAAATGAGAACCACTCGAACGTGGTGACAAAGGGGGGGGGGGGTAGAACCATGATAGAATTAAGTAAATGAGAACCACTCGAACGTGGTGACAAAGGGGGGGGGGGGGGTAGAACCATGATAGAATTAAGTAATTGAGAACCACTCGAAGGTGGTGACATGGGGGGGGGGGGGGGGGGGGGGGTAGAACCATGATAGAATTAAGTAATTGAGAACCACTCGAAGGTGGTGACATGGGGGGGGGGGGTAGAACCATGATAGAATTAAGGAATTGAGAACCACTCGAAGGTGGTGACATGGGGGGGGGGGGTAGAACCATGATAGAATTAAGGAATTGAGAACCACTCGAAGGTGGTGACATGGGGGGGGGGGGGGGTAGAACCATGATAGAATTAAGTAATTGAGAACCACTCGAAGGTGGTGACATGGGGGGGGGGGGGGTAGAACCATGATAGAATTAAGGAATTGAGAACCACTCGAAGGTGGTGACATGGGGGGGGGGGGGGGTAGAACCATGATAGAATTAAGGAATTGAGAACCACTCGAAGGTGGTGACATGGGGGGGGGGGGGGGGTAGAACCATGATAGAATTAAGTAATTGAGAACCACTCGAAGGTGGTGACATGGGGGGGGGGGGGTAGAACCATGATAGAATTAAGGAATTGAGAACCACTCGAAGGTGGTGACATGGGGGGGGTAGAACCATGATAGAATTAAGGAATTGAGAACCATCGAAGGTGGTGACATGGGGGGGGGGGGGGTAGAACCATGATAGAATTAAGGAATTGAGAACCACTCGAAGGTGGTGACATGGGGGGGGGGGGGTAGAACCATGATAGAATTAAGGAATTGAGAACCACTCGAAGGTGGTGACATGGGGGGGTGTAGAACCATGATAGAATTAAGGAATTGAGAACCACTCGAAGGTGGTGACATGGGGGGGGGGGGGTAGAACCATGATAGAATTAAGTAATTGAGAACCACTCGAAGGTGGTGACATGGGGGGGTGTAGAACCATGATAGAATTAAGTAATTGAGAACCACTCGAAGGTGGTGACATGGGGGGGGGGGGGTAGAACCATGATAGAATTAAGTAATTGAGAACCACTCGAAGGTGGTGACATGGGGGGGGGGTAGAACCATGATAGAATTAAGTAATTGAGAACCACTCGAAGGTGGTGACATGGGGGGGGGGGGGGGTAGAACCATGATAGAATTAAGTAATTGAGAACCACTCGAAGGTGGTGACATGGGGGGGGGGGGGTAGAACCATGATAGAATTAAGGAATTGAGAACCACTAGAAGGTGGTGACATGGGGGGGGGGGGGGGGGTAGAACCATGATAGAATTAAGTAATTGAGAACCACTCGAAGGTGGTGACATGGGGGGGGGGGGGTAGAACCATGATAGAATTAAGTAATTGAGAACCACTCGAAGGTGGTGACATGGGGGGGGTAGAACCATGATAGAATTAAGTAATTGAGAACCACTCGAAGGTGGTGACATGGGGGGGGGGGGGTAGAACCATGATAGAATTAAGTAATTGAGAACCACTCGAAGGTGGTGACATGGGGGGGGGGGGTAGAACCATGATAGAATTAAGGAATTGAGAAGCACTCGAACGTGGTGACAAGGGGGGGGGGGGGGGGGGTAGAACCATGATAGAATTAAGGAATTGAGAACCACTCGAAGGTGGTGACATGGGGGGGGGGGGGGGGTAGAACCATGATAGAATTAAGGAATTGAGAACCACTCGAAGGTGGTGACATGGGGGGGGTAGAACCATGATAGAATTAAGGAATTGAGAACCACTCAAAGGTGGTGACATGGGAGGGGGGGTAGAACCATGATAGAATTAAGGAATTGAGAACTACTCGAATGTGGTGACATGGGGGGGGGGTAGAACCATGATAGAATTAAGGAATTGAGAACTACTCGAATGTGGTGACATGGGGGGGGGGGGGTAGAACCATGATAGAATTAAGGAATTGAGAACTACTCGAATGTGGTGACATGGGGGGGGGGGGGGGGTAGAACCATGATAGAATTAAGGAATTGAGAACTACTCGAATGTGGTGACATGGGGGGGGGGGGGTAGAACCATGATAGAATTAAGGAATTGAGAACCACTCGAAGGTGGTGACATGGGGGGGGGGGGGGTAGAACCATGATAGAATTAAGGAATTGAGAACCACTCGAAGGTGGTGACATGGGGGGGGGGGGTAGAACCATGATAGAATTAAGTAATTGAGAACCACTCGAAGGTGGTGACATGGGGGGGGGGGGGGTAGAACCATGATAGAATTAAGTAATTGAGAACCACTCGAAGGTGGTGACATGGGGGGGGGGTAGAACCATGATAGAATTAAGTAATTGAGAACCACTCGAAGGTGGTGACATGGGGGGGGGGGGTAGAACCATGATAGAATTAAGTAATTGAGAACCACTCGAAGGTGGTGACATGGGGGGGGGTAGAACCATGATAGAATTAAGTAATTGAGAACCACTCGAAGGTGGTGACATGGGGGGGGGGGGGGTAGAACCATGATAGAATTAAGGAATTGAGAACCACTCGAAGGTGGTGACATGGGGGGGGGGGGGGGGTAGAACCATGATAGAATTAAGGAATTGAGAACCACTCGAAGGTGGTGACATGGGGGGGGGGGTAGAACCATGATAGAATTAAGGAATTGAGAACCACTCGAAGGTGGTGACATGGGGGGGGGGGTGGTAGAACCATGATAGAATTAAGGAATTGAGAACCACTCGAAGGTGGTGACATGGGGGGGGGGGGTAGAACCATGATAGAATTAAGGAATTGAGAACCACTCGAAGGTGGTGACATGGGGGGGGGGGGGGTAGAACCATGATAGAATTAAGGAATTGAGAACCACTCGAAGGTGGTGACATGGGGGGGGGGGGTAGAACCATGATAGAATTAGGGAATTGAGAACCACTCGAAGGTGGTGACATGGGGGGGGGGGGGTAGAACCATGATAGAATTAAGTAATTGAGAACCACTCGAAGGTGGTGACATGGGGGGGGTAGAACCATGATAGAATTAAGGAATTGAGAACCACTCGAAGGTGGTGACATGGGGGGGGGGGGGTAGAACCATGATATAATTAAGGAATTGAGAACCACTCGAAGGTGGTGACATGGGGGGGGGGGGGTAGAACCATGATAGAATTAAGGAATTGAGAACCACTCGAAGGTGGTGACATGGGGGGGGGGGGGGGTAGAACCATGATAGAATTAAGGAATTGAGAACCACTCGAAGGTGGTGACATGGGGGGGGGTAGAACCATGATAGAATTAAGTAATTGAGAACCACTCGAAGGTGGTGACATGGGGGGGTAGAACCATGATAGAATTAAGGAATTGAGAACCACTCGAAGGTGGTGACATGGGGGGGGGGTAGAACCATGATAGAATTAAGTAATTGAGAACCACTCGAAGGTGGTGACATGGGGGGGGGGGTAGAACCATGATAGAATTAAGGAATTGAGAACCACTCGAAGGTGGTGACATGGGGGGGGGTAGAACCATGATAGAATTAAGTAATTGAGAACCACTCGAAGGTGGTGACATGGGGGGGTAGAACCATGATAGAATTAAGGAATTGAGAACCACTCGAAGGTGGTGACATTGGGGGGGGGGGTAGAACCATGATAGAATTAAGTAATTGAGAACCACTCGAAGGTGGTGACATGGGGGGGTAGAACCATGATAGAATTAAGGAATTGAGAACCACTCGAAGGTGGTGACATGGGGGGGGGGGGGGGTAGAACCATGATAGAATTAAGGAATTGAGAACCACTCGAAGGTGGTGACATGGGGGGGGGGGTAGAACCATGATAGAATTAAGGAATTGAGAACCACTCGAAGGTGGTGACATGGGGGGGGGGGGTAGAACCATGATAGAATTAAGTAATTGAGAACCACTCGAAGGTGGTGACATGGGGGGGGGGGGTAGAACCATGATAGAATTAAGGAATTGAGAACCACTCGAAGGTGGTGACATGGGGGGGGGGGTAGAACCATGATAGAATTAAGTAATTGAGAACCACTCGAAGGTGGTGACATGGGGGGGGGTAGAACCATGATAGAATTAAGTAATTGAGAACCACTCGAAGGTGGTGACATGGGGGGGGGGGTAGAACCATGATAGAATTAAGGAATTGAGAACCACTAGAAGGTGGTGACATGGGGGGGGGGTAGAACCATGATAGAATTAAGTAATTGAGAACCACTCGAAGGTGGTGACATGGGGGGGGGGGTAGAACCATGATAGAATTAAGGAATTGAGAACCACTCGAAGGTGGTGACATGGGGGGGGGGTAGAACCATGATAGAATTAAGGAATTGAGAACCACTCGAAGGTGGTGACATGGGGGGGGGGGGAAGAACCATGATAGAATTAAGGAATTGAGAACCACTCGAAGGTGGTGACATGGGGGGGGGGGGGTAGAACCATGATAGAATTAAGTAATTGAGAACCACTCGAAGGTGGTGACATGGGGGGGGGGGGTAGAACCATGATAGAATTAAGTAATTGAGAACCACTCGAAGGTGGTGACATGGGGGGGGGGGGGTAGAACCATGATAGAATTAAGGAATTGAGAACCACTAGAAGGTGGTGACATGGGGGGGGGGGGGTAGAACCATGATAGAATTAAGTAATTGAGAACCACTCGAAGGTGGTGACATGGGGGGGGGTAGAACCATGATAGAATTAAGGAATTGAGAACCACTCGAAGGTGGTGACATGGGGGGGGGGGGGGTAGAACCATGATAGAATTAAGGAATTGAGAACCACTCGAAGGTGGTGACATGGGGGGGGGGGGGTAGAACCATGATAGAATTAAGGAATTGAGAACCACTCGAAGGTGGTGACATGGGGGGGGGGGGGGGTAGAACCATGATA